AAACGCACTCTCTCCATCTACACGCCTCGAAGCAGCAGAAGGCCGTGGTGGAGTTGGCGGTGGGAATGCAGGTGTCTCCGGTGGAAACTCCGGTGGAGGTAGCCCGGGAGTCGATGGCCGGCCTGTGGTGTTGCAGTGGTTATGACCATACCAAGTGTTTTGAGGAACGGTCTTGCTGAAATCGAATTTGACCGACTTGGAAGCCTCTGAGTAGATCTCGACGGACTCCGGGACCCAACCGTCGGTTCCATTCCGGTTGATATAGAGAGAGCATATAGGGTTATTCAGACATTGACCTTTGACTTGGAATGTGTCCGTTGAACACTTACCCAAAATCCCAGTTCCTCTTATCGGTCCGCCTAGTCTCTGTGCATACACCTAAAAACCGCGACAAGATTTTAATATTTTGTTGAAAATCCACATCAAAGTTGCATGTATCGAGCAAACAAAGATTTCTTTATATACCTAACCTTGAAAATGTAAAATAACCGAGTATTTTCGTCATTTAAGACATCTATAGTAGTCAACCATCATCTAAACCAAAGTTAAAAGACTCGAATCTTGATATTTCAAATTTACGGTAAATTTTTGAACTACTGAACCATGAGTTTGTTTAGAGCAAATAAAGATAGACAATTGGAGCTACAAATCAGACAATGTAAACCGGACCGGTTTTGTCTATATCAGAGATATCTAATCAATTAACCTGATTACCGTCCGCGTCGCCAAAAGCGACACTAATCTGATCACTTGTCGACGGCGGAGAGCGGCAGCTCGTTTTGACAACCACCGTGTAAGGACATATTCCTTGTTGCATCTACAAGAATTTCACGGAAAACAAATATATTCAGGAAGCGAGCAAACCGGTTCTTGGTTTTTGTTAACCAGATAAAATAGAAAGCAAGAAGAACCTGGATGATGCTGAGGTCGAAGGCATGTGTGACGAAGATGAAGGCGGAGAAGAGAACAGAGGAAGTGAGAGAAGGAAACGCCATTTTAGGTGAGGGATTATGTGTGTAGTTGTGATCAAGAGAAGAGAGAGATAAAGAAAGAGGCTATCTAGAGGGTTATATAAATGTCTAAAATATGCAACTAGTTCTCTCATGGACACTTGGCACAAGGAATCAATCCATTGAGATACAAAAATATGTTTCATGGAAATTAAGTGTTTAGTTTGTAAAAACAATTTTTATAGTACTATATTTACTTTAGAATAACATTTAAATGGTTTGTATAAAAACTTTTAAACTTATTTGCAAATTACAAAAACAAACGCAAAAGATAAATGAATTAAAAAAAAATTGTACTTGTAAATACTCTCTTCTTTGTTGGATAAATAAATTTAACATTTCATTAAAATAAAAAAGTGATTGTATTTTAATTAAGGAATGATATTTGAGAAAGAGATAAGGTAAACATTGGGCCGATATTTGGGTCACGGCCTAGATGGAGATTTGAAAAAATGGCCATGATCTCAAATTTATCTATAATTGTAAAATATGTTGGGGTAATATATGAATTTTATAATATCAATTATATTGAGATTGATGAAGAAAGAAAGAGAAACAAGAGAGAGATATAATTACCAAAATATTGGATAATATAGATGCTATATTTAGGGCATGAATGAGTGGTAAATATAAGAGATTTTTAATATTATAAAATTCTTATATTTACCCAAACCATTTTTGGTTTCTAAATATAGAATCTATATTATCCATATTTAGTGGGTAAATATAACA